AACCTCAACATTTAAAAAAAAAAAAAATAACATTGTGTTCAATATGAAACGTTTAATTGAATTAACTCGATTAACTAAAAACTGTATATTAGGTTTTTTTTCTCCGATTTGATTATATTATGCGTGTAAATGGTTCGCTTGCACTCGCGAACGTCCTAAAATATGAAGGTGATGGATCTTCGTCGATGTTACTCTTCTAATTTTGTCTGTACCATCTGGAGTGTATGTACACCATAATATAATACCGTAACAATAGTATAATAATGTACCAACGCGTGCATATTGCCATACATATTAATTTAATGCCTGTCGGTGGCGTTTTGGGACCGTATATCCGATTTCGTGGCCTACAGCCACGGGGACGGCCGCAAAGACGCGCGTATAATAAATCTTGATAATAATAATGTTATAATAATGCAGGTATAAAGTCGAATTTCGATACAACCCAACCGCAGCGCAGTGGCATTGTATATAATATTATTATCAGTAATAATAATAATAATAATAACAATAACAATAATAATAATAATAATAATAGCAGTACACGGATATGCATTATATAATACGTTTGCCCGTAGTATGACTTGTCGTCCCCGTTAAAAAGTCAACTCGTACGAACGATTGACACTGATCCGGCGCAGACATTTTATACATACAGGCGTGTGTATTTATGGCGGTCTACATTACATTTAAATCCCGTGTCGACGAAATTACGTGCGCACGAACGATATCTGACAAGGTTGGGCGAATGATGTAGTGTTGGTTTAGAAATCAACGTTTTTTTGGTCGCGCAACAGTATTTCACATATTTCACGAGCTGGATAGCTCCAGCACAACGATTTTCCGATCGTTAAATTATTGTCGACAGGGGCTTATTTAGGGGGGGATAATATGGGTGTTAGAACACCCCCCATCAACCATATTCTATGGTATTTCATTAAATTACAAACTTACTTACAGTATAATTTGAATAAACGTTGTATAAAACTTGTCGATTTTACATACACTGTCTTTATATAATCATTTTCATTAGTATAATAATTCATATAAATGCATGGTATTTATTTATGTAATATAGGAGGGAGCCAGAGCTTCCCACTTACCATAAGTCTATTCAATTTTAAAACGCCCCCGTTAAATGAATCCAGGATACGCCACTGATCGTCGATGTTCAGTTGATAATTAATTATTGATATACTAAATATTACTAATGATACGTAAGATGCAATTGAAACGATTATATTATTATATAATAAAACATACGGAAGATTATTTAACGTGATTGAATCTATAACTATTGAAAAATACAAGTCGTTTTGTATTTTCGAACATTAGTATAACGGTTCGTTGCTTATAATTAGAGACCGGATTTATACGAGGTCTGTTCAAAAAGTTCCCGAACTATCGTTTCTAAAAATAGAAAAATTACATTATTGTAAATGTTATTATATCAAAATAAAATACAGATAAGCAGCTATCTTTTCCATTAAATCTCAAATGTTTATTGCTATCGAATCATTAACTGTGCGCGTTCAAAGTAGACGAGTCGTGTGTATTGTGCGATTTTTAAGATGAGTAATTTTCACGAACAACGTATTAATATTAAATTTTGTGTTAAACTTTGTAAATCTTTTACTGAGACTCACAAAATGTTGCAAAATGCTTATGGTGATCAGTGTTTAGGACGTACACAGTGTTACGACTGGTTTAAACGCTTTAAAGACGGTCGGGAATCAGTTGATGACGACCCACGTTCAGGACGTCCGTCGACATCGACAGACGATGCTCATGTGACAAAAGTCAATGAAATTGTGCGGTCTAATAGACGTTTAACTATTCGAGAAATCGCGGAAGATTGTAACATATCGGTTGGTTCATGTCATGAAATCCTGGTCGAAAAACTTGGAATGCACCGCGTTGCAGCAAAATTTGTCCCTCGGTTGATGTCGCAAGATCAAAAAGACAACCGCGTAACAATCTGTCAAGAATTGTTAGATCGCGCTAACGATGATGACATGTTCATGAAGCAAATTATAACGGGTGATGAGACATGGGTCTATGGCTATGATGTTGAGACAAAAGTCCAATCATCACAGTGGGTTGGTAAATTTTCTCCAAGACCAAAAAAAGCTCGTCAGGTCAAACGTCAAAGTTATGCTAACAGTTTTTTTCGACAATCTGGGAGTTATTCATCACGAATTTCTACCTGCAGGACAAACTGTTAACCGATGGTACTATCTAGAAGTATTAAAACGTCTTCGAGAAAAAGTGCGGAGGAAAAGGCCTGAAGTGTGGAAAAAAACTCATGGTTTCTTCATCACGACAATGCTCCGGCGCACACTTCCCTGTTAATTCGTGATTTTTGCGTGAAAAATCACATGACCGTACTTCCTCATCCACCATATTCTCCCGATTTGGCACCAGCAGACTTTTTTTTATTTCCAAAATTAAAATATCCGTTAAAAGGACAAAGATTTTCTACGATAGACGAAATAAAAGAAAATTCGCTAACGGAGTTACGAGCAATTCCAGAAACCGCTTTCCAGGATTGCTTTCAACAATGGAAACGTCGTTGGCAAAAGTGTATTAACCAAGAGGGAGAATACTTCGAGGGTGATAAGTCTCAATAGCTTGTAAGTAAGCACCATAAATAAAAAATTGAAAAATTCGGGAACTTTTTGAACAGACCTCGTATGCCCTTAAAATCTTAAAAATAAGATTCTCTTACGCTTTATAATTTCATCAAAATAATCTTTTATATGAATAAATATTCATGTATAGAAAAATATGATTTTTCATAAAAATATATTAAATACTGAGAAAAAAATAATAAAAGTAACAGTTTACAAAAATTATAATGTAGTTAAATTAATCTTAACTTTTAAAAAAATATTTAAATAGTCATATTTAATCAATACTATGGTGATGTACTGAAATATATTGATTTTTATATTTTACGTGTGTGATTGTAATACATAGTCACATAATACCCACCTGAAATTCAAAGTTATATAAAATAATATTAATAACCCGTGCTCGATTTGGCGAAATTAAAGAAGGGGGACTCTGTTTACTCTTAAAAAAAAGCGTTAAAACTTGAGAAGCATTATAATTGTAACGTAATTATAGTATGAGGACGCTAAAACGTCGGAAATTTAGTTGGGGTACTCCGTCCCCCTGCGTCCCCCTTCAAGTTGAACACTGTAAATAACATTTTTTAAATAATAAAAACAAAAACTAACTGCATATAAGTATCAAAAATAGTAACAAAACTTTAAATTTTACATTTATATCTATATTACATAGATATATTTACAATATTGTGTTGAAATTTGGTACCAAAATACAAAAATACTTTTCGGATCTCGTGATGGTTTTCATGAGTATTTCCACCAAGAGGCGGTAAAACCGTAAAAACAAACGGAAAAAACACTACAATAACGGAGCAACGTAAAGCGCATAATTTTTCAATAAAATCTCGACCGCACATATATATGCACACGGGTAAACCGAGCTCCACCGTCAGAATCTTTATGAACGCGTTACACTCGTCATCGCACCGTATGCATAGGACTGTTGAAATTTTTAAATGACACTACGCACATTATTATTTATTCCTCGACACCAAATATATAAGTATACACATATGTATAATGTATGTGACGACCACCGTTACTATCGAAACACGCACATAAATACATCCTGGACGTTAGTCATATTTAGATACGTGCTACCAGTGGTAGCACCAGGATTTTTATTTAATTTAATTTTTTTTTTTTTTTGATAGGGCCAAAAAATATAAGTTAAGGCCACAAAAAATGAAATTTCAGAGGAAAAAAAATATATAATAAACCAGTCAGCAATTCGTACTCTCAGTAATTTTAAACGTTTCGTCAGACCTATTAACTTCGAATTAGCGAGAGTCGACTGTACCTATTATTATATGCTTCAATATGCACGTGTGTCGCACACTTACATTATATTAAATGCTGTATATAGCAGGAAAACCAAATTTCTTAATTAAATAAGGATAAGGTAGGATAGATATAGGTTATACTTAGTAATCAAAAAAATCACTAAATATCAAACATAAACGTACCGAGACTTCGTGTTCAGGGTATGCAAGAAAGCTATCCATCAACCTCCAAAAAATTAGAATACAAATTATTGTTTACATACACATGACCAGTATATACACGGAAGTAAGACTTGGACCTTACTGGTCCTAGTCCACTCCCGGTTCCTAGGACAGTTTTAGTAACTTAGTTTTACCTCTAATCTCTAGCAGTGGCGTACTCACGGGGGGGGGGGGGGGTCATGGGGTTTGAACCCCACCCCCCTTATTGGCCGTATTTTTTTAAAATTATTCCAATAGTTTTATAATAATTGATTATTGATTTTATTGATTATAATTTAGTGGTTTATACGTCATTAGTTACCAGTATCAGGATTATCAAGTTGGATTGGAGCACGACCATAGAACATGTTCTATGACACGACCGCGCTATCAATTTAACAATTTGATGACAATTTGTGATAATGTGGTTTTTTAAAACAGTACAATATTTGTAATTATTATGACTATGGGGGGTGTGGGAGGCAGAGCTCCCCCACCTTTGTATTCTAGTAAATTTTCAGAGCCCCCCCCATTGAAAATTCCTGAGAACGCCACTGATCTCTAGTATATTTTTGCATTCGTAAGACTAATAAATGTACATTTCTATTACATAGATCTGGTTAAGACTCCTCAAAAAAAAAAAAAAAAAACCACTAATAATTTCACTACACGTTTCGTTATGATATAAAAACATCCGTTGTAGACCTGAGGTTCAACCCCACCGCCTCCTAATTTCAAACAATGTTTTCACCCAGGAGGCCCCGAGGCGCTGCGCCACTCCGCCCTGGATGACAATACAGTAGGCGTTCACGGTGATCCTCCGGGGCCGACCGCGATAAAGCCGCGAAACGACCAGCTGATAACGTGCGTCGTTATCACGGACACGATTGCGGCTGACGGTACACGATAACGGACGGTGCGCTGGAGAATCCCGGTTAGATCACGTTTGGTTCGACGGCTCATAGGTAGGAGTGTACAATATAATCTCGTCGTAACTCCGAGGCCGTTCGATTGATCAACGACGTCCCGGACAACGATGCGCGCCGGTGCTATATTTTCACGGTGATTGCTCTCCGTCGCCGTCCGGATCCGATCTCTTGGATTTTCGTCGGGTCCACCGTCCGCGCTCGTTTTTCGCTGCCGTAACGAACGGTGTTCGGATGATATTATTGCTCGCCCGAGTTGTCCCTTGGGTAATTCGACGACCGCAGGATATCCCTCGCACGTTTCGACGCCATGGCCTCCGCCAACGCCACCAGTGACCGCAACGCGGAACTACTACTCGAAAACTCGGTGTTGCAGGTACCCGCAAATTGGTTTTATAATATGTTTTTTTTTTTTTTTCACCAACTTCATTACGCATCCTCCGAGAACCGTGCGATCACAACGCCGGTGTCTGCGTCCACCGAACGTTTTCCAAACTTCCGTGTAACCGCTTTGTCCGATCCGCGGTTTTGATTCGAATATGATTTCATCACCGTTCCTCCCGCGTTCCTTTCGAACGCCTTGATGCTACCGCAACACTTGCACGAATCTTGTATCTTTACTCTCCGTGTGTACACCTGTTGAAATTTATTCGGTTCTAAGGGTACAGCTCATGTACACTATAATTTCTTTCCAATGAAATTTAGTCCTCATTGTTGTTTTTATTAGGTTGCATCAGCGCATTTAATTGATTTATATTGTGGAGCAGGTGAAAACAATGACAACATGTTAAACTGTGAGACAAACCTAATATACAATAGTAAATATTTCCATGTTTATAGTTAATGCACTCTTATTATATATTATTATCGATGTAAACATGACAAACACTACATAACTACTTACAATGCCTGTGTGATAAATTGTAACATGTTTTTGTTATAGTGTAAACGGACCTTTGAAAATATCATATGTGTTCAAACAACAGCCTTGCTGAAAAAATCAACTCTTGAAAAGATACTCTGTGTCCTACAAGAATTTATTAGTAAAATCAATGTACCCATGAATGAAATAATTCATTGTGATGAAGAGTTCACTGAAACGTACGCATTTACTTATAATGTAAAGAATTGTTGATCATTTTCAAATTTTATTTTTTCTTCACTCAATTTTTAGGATCTGTGATGAGGTAAATACCAAAAGAAAAATAAACCACAAGGCATTTGATAGTTTTAAAGCCCTATGCAGTGAGAAAAAAAAAAAGAAAAGTAAGATATTTTTAATAAAAACCTATTGTTTTCAACCAGAACTTTATTATCATATTTTCTTGTTGTATTATGTTATTTATTTATGTAGCTGCTCAAAAACCAGAAGTCTACAAATGTGCAGACTGTAAATATCAAACGTTCCGAAAAGCAGATTTGAAAAAACATCTGAAACGTCACATGGGGGTGTGTAACTATTGTTGCAACTACTGTTCACGGACATTTTTTGACAAATACAACTTGGAGAGACACATTAATGCCAATCACACAAAAAAACAAAAATACTCTTGTAAAACGGTAATGTCTACTATTGGTACCATTATTGGTGTTTATTTCCTTTTGTTCAAGCTTTTCTGTGCCCAACTGCCCATTCACTGTTGATACTCTAGTCTCTCACATACTTATATACATGTTGTCTGTTTGATTTATAGTGTGAATACACAACGTACTTGTATGATTCACTTAAACGCCATGAAAAATTGAAACACGGTGATCATACTGAATCAAAATTTATCTGTTCTATTTGTTACCATGTGAGTGCTTCCAAACATGACATGTCCATACATTTGTTCATCCACAACAAGTGCAAGCCTTACATGTAAGTATCTTGTAAATTTCTATGTATTATAACTAAATAAAACAAAACTCTCTTCGTTTTCAAGTTCAATAAGCAAAATATATTCGTATGTTTAATTACTTTTAAATGTAAATTATTTTGTCAATTATAAATTATTAAGTTTTTTTTTTTTTTTTTTCGTGTCAGAATTATTAAATTATAGGTTTGATAAGGATTTGTTTCAGAAATTATAGTGTTATAATTTGTTCAATCATAAAACTTCAAAACATAAAAACTACAGCTTACTCTACAAAAAGTTAATTCATCAAACCTAAATAAAATAATATTCAATAACAAATCTAAATTATAAATGAATATAATTAAAATCAACTCTAGTTGTTTGAAAATTGTCTAAAAATAATATAATTATTTTATTAATTCTTAATTTATCTATAAAATAACTTAAGCAAATACATATAGAAATTAAAACCAAAAGTTAAATCAAAATTATATAATAGTTATTTATGATCCTGGTGCATTTCAATTGTTTTGAATATTGTTTTCTTTTCCATTTTTTTGGATAACTTAGGTGTGAAGAATGTGGTTCAATGTTTGCCATCAAGAGTCGATTGCAAACACATAAGAACACCGTGCACAATGAACGTGTACACACGTGTAATGTGTGTGACAAAGCATTTCAATCACAATCATTGGTGAAAAGACATATGATCATACATTCACGTTTCAAGCCATACTTGTGTCCGTTTTGCAATCACTCATCAAACAGTCAGAGCAACTTAACCAAACATGTGCGAAATATTCACTCCAAGGATGATTTTTCATACCACAAGTTTGTGTTTTATTTTTGTTATGAATTTGTATTGTATGATGCACATCAATTTATTATTAATTTTTTGTTTTTTGTATAATCTTCAGGTATATAAATGGAAAACAATGATGAACCATGCTCATTACATACTACAGGTTGTTACCATACTGCCATATTATATTGGACCAATATATGACATTTTTAATTAACTATTTTATATAAATTTTATAATGATTGTTGTTCTTAATTTCTCTTCTTTCTTTTGGATGGTTTCACTAGTTAGTATGTTATACATTTTTCATTGTTTATCTTTAAAATGTGTTTTAAAGTTATAACTAATGTAGCCTTTAATTAATTATTGGTTGACCATTTAAACTCCTTCAAAATTGATAGTTTATTATATTTTTTAAGGAACCCCACCGGAAATAATTTATGTTTTACAAGTTATATTTTTATTCATCCTACATGTTATTTCTTCACATGGTGTTAACAGTTATAGATTCTTTTACTACTTGTCTCATGTTTTCATTGTAATTTATATAAAGTTATGCATATATTTTTAACTAATTTATAATAAACCTTACCAATTTTTTTTTTTTTTTTAATTCTCAGCTGTTTGTACAATTTTAATAAAAAAAATAAAATTAAAAAAAAACAATAAATTTCTTGTGAACTTGTTCGTTCTGCGACCATCATTTGAGTTTTCCTAGACATAGGTAATTTAAATGCATGAACATGTTTTGTCAAAATTTGAGAATAAACTCTATAAATCGCATTCATAATTATAAAATATAATTCAATTATAATTATAATCAATATAATTTAAATTAATCACTCTAATTTCATTTTAAAATATTCAAACTTTAATTCATCTATTTTTGTTTTATTTTAGAACTTTATATTTTTTTTATTTTATATTTTAAATATTTAATGGTATAAAAATTAAAATTATTTAACTCATTCTTCATTGGACGCTGATGATACTGATATAGAAGTCCATTTTATTCATCAAAATATAAATTTTGGAGTATACGACCAAATAACTAAACATATACAGTTACTCTTGTAGGAAAATCAGAAGAATCTAAGTTTATGTATATTCAAACATTGTACATAGATAATCAATCAATACTGGAGTCGTTGAAATAATAAAATTTTTTTTTAAGTCAGGATTTCATCATATACCAGTATTTACCAAAAGCGTATGCCATATAAAAAATTTTTATTTATTAGAAAAAAACAACATCAATTAAAGTATAATAAATAATAATTGAAAAAATGTATAAAAGTAGTAAAATTAGAATAATATTATTTTTTGATTTTTAATTTATATAATTTTGGTGTGAAACATGTACTCGATGTTTGTACATTAGTTCAATTCAAGGGGTAGATTGACAACAAATATCTTCGCATTTTTTGTTCAACTGATTAAAAATGTTCAAGTTTCTTATTTTTCATATTGATTGGGACGGAAAATCTTAGTTCGCAGAGGTGCATTGTAGAAAATTGAATAATGTATTAATTGCTATTTACGTATTTAATGGATACTTGATATCATTATTCACTCCAAAAACAGAAGATTAAAGTTTATTACATTTTATTTTCAATAAGCAATCACACTGAAGTTCTAAGATTTGTCCTTTGGCTAATCCTATGTTACTACTTAAGGATTGCGCAACAACCAATCGTCTTATCAGTCAATATGTAATAATGGAAAATATTTCATTTGTTCTTTCAAAATTAAGAAATTGTTATTTACACAACAAGAAGTGACTTTTCCATCTTAATCAACATCAGCTGTTAATTAAATCATTTGTAGCTATTTTATTTCTCCACATGCAGTATCCAATGATTAATTTTTTGTAGAAAACCATACATTAGCATTCAATATTGAAATTAAAATAATGCATTATAAATATAATATTACTTGACAAGATAAAGATAGTTATATCTTAACTGTAAAGAAAAGAACTCAAGATTTTATTATATTTGATAAACCTATAACAATAAGTCACTTTTTACCTTTTTTTTGTGTGTGTTTTCGATCTTAAATACTTATTTTCAAAATTTAGACAGTTTATCCAAAGCCACGACTTATAATAATTATGGACCATGATTGAAGAATGTTTGGGAACCACCAAATTAACAACACATATAACTTATGAATTAGTTGGATAGCCATACCAAGATGTGAAATTCGAGAGAAAAAGAAAATATTTTTACCTAGATTTTTTTTTTTTGAAAATGAAAAAAATAATGCCACTATTGTTCTTTTCTATATTTTGTTGACAGTTATATTTTTGATTCATCGCTAACAAAATACATTACTTTTATTAAAAAATTCTAATATACTGGTTACCAAAATGTACGACTGAGATAATGAAAACTATTAGATTTACCAAAAATAAATAAGACTGACAGTTTCATTTTTAATAATACCTACTAAACGCATTTATTATAATTTTTTTATATTTACTAGACTTCTGACATAAATACTTTTCAAAATTATATTAAGCAATATTTCTTATGTAATACAAGTCTTCATTATTTTTTTTTTTTTTTACAACTATTCGCAGCACGCAACACATAGGTTTGACAAAATACTATTATAACTATTTAAGTACAAAAATTTGCTAAACGGATAATTAACAAATTTCTGAGACCACATGAACACAATTTTTGTACAAATGTAAAAAAAATTAAATAATTGCAATAATAAATAATAATAATAATAATAAAAAAAATTAAATCACAAAACGTTGGAACATATGAGAAATAAAAAAATTAAGTCTTGAAATTTACTCTTTAGGAAGAGTATAATAATATTATATGGTTGAACACAACAACATAATTTGCAATATGTTGTTAGAAAAAGAACTAAGCATTTTATATTAATTTTTTTTATAAGTTCAAAACAGTGAGTTTATTTTGTATTATGTTTTCTTGCTTAGATTTATAGGGATAACAAGATCTCATCCTCAGTCATCAACTTTTGGTAGACGTCTTCTTTTTCTTTGAATCAATTCTCTCACGCAGTTTCACCAATATTGAATCCAATTCCATCTAAAAATGAAACTTTGTTCAAAACAATATTGGAAATGTACATTATAGCATAATTATAATTCATAAGAGACCCACTAAAATAATTTATGTTCATTTAGCTTTGATAAATATATTTTAAATTTTAAAGAAATTACATTTTATTTTGTAAACTCAAATATACTTATTTTATCTTTCTTTAACGATTGTATGATTACTGAATAACTTGAATAACTTGAATTTTTATTAATACCCAGTTTTTATATCGAAATTATGAATTAAGATGCTTTTAAGTATTAGTGCATGAATTATTAATTATTATCGAGTTATAAAGACTTCACCTTTGTTAAAATTAAATTAATACATTTAATATACTTAAAGTTTATATGATTAAAAAATGATTAACAAAATTTTTTTTTAAATCAACTAATGTAGTCAACAAAATATTCCAACCATTGGAAAAAGTTCTACCACTTTTTGTAATTAAATAAATATTGATGACAAATTTTAAAATTATTATGGTTTTATATATATTGATTGTAACTAGAATTAGTTAATTAGGTATTTAGCAGATTAGTTAGTTACTAACTATAGTGTATAGTGAAATAGTTTAGATATTATACAAAACAATTTAATACCCTGATTAGAATTGTATAACCCAAAATTCGAATTCTTAAGTCCAAAAATCTAAAATTTAGATTTCATTTTGTAGATTAAAACCCGAAATGCGGATTTTTTGGATAATCTAGATTTATTTTGCATCACTAACGGACATACCTCAAAAAAATCTGAAATATTCCGAAATATACACAATATCGATCAAAAATAAGTTCTAGGTATGAAAAATAATGTGTTGTACAATTTTCAAAACAATTGATTAGGTCACTAAATTACAATGTTATGTTAATATTTTAATTGCTTCTCCAAAAAAATCAGCGATAGTGAGTTACTGTCTTATTCGTTGTGCGTGTCGTCAAAATGTAATAGACATTTTCGTGAAATATTTTATATGTTTAATACTTTACAAAGCTACAATTTAAGTTAGAACATTTTCAATTCAAAGTAATAATTGCATAAAATTATTTAATCATTTTAAATTAGAAATAAATTATAATATATGTTTAGAGAGTACATTTAATAAAAATTGTACAACATAAATGCATATTTTCATGATTATTAGGTTTTCAGACTATTTAGTTAGTTGCTAGTTACTCACCTCATCTAAAGTATATAAAAACTTGCAATACTTGAGTTGATTATGTTTTTTCGATAACATTTCAATGCCGTGTCTCAAACAATAGTCACAATCCTCATGAGAGTTGTTTACCTATGCAAATACATTATAAAGATATAATAATATTCATGCCATGTATATTGTGCTTATTGATGACCGTTATAACAAAACATAAAAATCATTGTTGGGTCGATTTGATACATATATACACTGCTTGATACACTTTATATTAAATCTAGTGATATTTCATATTAAAATACAATTTTAACAAAAAATAAATAAAAAAATTGTAAAATCATCTTTAAATATTATCATATTATTATTGATTAATTGGAAGATTTAATACACTATATTATTTGGATGGTATCAATTTGAAAACTATGGTAAAAAATATGTTTTATAGCCAAAATTAAACTTAAATCAAGTAATAAATTTAAAAAAATATGAAAAATATTCAAATTAAAAGTTTAGTTAAAACTTCATAACATTTGATCAATACTATAAATATAGTTATATTTAAATTGATTAAATAGATGTTGGACTAAATTACAATTAGACAAGACCATCTCCGAAAAAATTTAAAATATACAATACCTTATAAACATTTATTGAGTAATAACATTTAAAAAAATCATAATTAATATTTTATTTATTATTACCATTGATATGTAAAGAATTGAATGGCATACGTCACACTCATAATCATCATTTTGTTCACTTGATTTCAAAGGCCGAATACGTTCAGACACCTTTAAACCCAAATCTTCTACTAGCTGACTCCTGAGTGCTACTTCACAATCTCTCATGTTGCTTAATATGTTTAGTAGCTGTAAAAATAAATTGAAGGGTTTAAAAACTTATAATTATACATTTGATTATATTGAGTAATAATTAAAAGTATAACTAGGAATATAATAATTATAATTATATTCTTATTATTGTAAATTATTCTTATTATTATGCCAGTTATTGTCATCAAACAAATATTTATTATTATTTATTTATTTTAATTTAAAAGTTATATGGCATACGTACACATATATTAATACAAATATTTATACATAGTAAAAATTATATATAAATGATTATCTTCGGAAGCTAAATGTTTCAAAAAAATTAAATGTATTGAAATTCAAAACATTTTCATTTCAACTTCATGTTATATTAATGGAATCTAAAAAGTTTAGGAAAAACTTTTAGGTTAGTTCTATCTAACACTGCACAACCCTAAATTAATTATTCAAAATTAAACTGAATTACTTCAATAGACAAGAACCAATTTACTAACAAAAATCTGTGCTTTTAATTAGAGATAACTATACATTTTCCCATTTTTTGACATAACAGTTTGAACGTACCTGCTTTAGTAATTTTTGAGGTGTACGAGGATCCATAGACATGTTAATTAATAACTTTTCATATGAAAAAGCAGCTGGTTCACAATTTCTTTGCAAATCCTAAAAAAACAAAAAGATAACATTTAGTCAGAAAAAATTATGTAAAATGTTACTCATAAATAAAAACAATTAATTTTATCCACTTGCCTGAAAAATTTTCTCTGAATCATTAAGCCAACCAGACTGAGTGAAGTAGACACTCTCCGATATAACATATCCAGTAGACACATTACATGTATAAGCTCGTGGCATAACAATCAAAAACTGGCCTGGATTCTGCACAGTTCGAGTAAGCGTAACACCATGCTCTAGTAAGCGATCAGGCGGCACCATGCCACTATCAGCAGCCAACCAAGTGTGATGGTTTTGTCCCTCAGCAACAGCTCGCGGCAACAGCCGTTTCATTGCTGCACGAAACTTATCACTCTGGGAGGATGGCACACCATACCACACCTTATCAGCACCTGTATGTAAGTACTCAATCCATGGCAAACCATGTGGGTCTTTGTACCAGCAACAGGCTGAGAATACCATACCCATGTGTATGGTAGGTACAGTCATGCCCATAACTGGACCAAGAGACTTGAGCACAGATACTGGGTTATTGGTCAAAACCTTTAGATTCCAAGGATGTTTGGTAAATGTGGCAGTCTTAGACGTCGGGAACCCATAACCCTCAGCGCCTGAGTCTATCGAACCTGAAAGGACACATATATGATTCTTCTTCTCTTGCACCTGCTTCCAATAAAAAGATTCAACATCTTCAGCTCGGACCGCAGCAGCACCCATTTTAGATGCCAGAGATGAGTTACCACTACCCTGCGGCTGTTGTTGTTGCTGTTCTTTGAACCACATGGCAACAGTATTGCGAGCCACTCGATAATAAGCACTCAATGCAATACTACGACCCTTTGAACAAAAAATATATATAGATAAATAAAGTATTTAATAATTTTTTTCTTTAAAAATCACAGTTTTCACAATTCTTTTTAACAACAAATCAGTTAACCAAATTATTTCTTATGTCATATTTAACTTATTATTATGTATTTTAATATATGTTTGATTTATATTGATAAAATTAAAATTAAGTCAATAAAAAGGTTACAATATTACATTGAATACAAAATATAAATAAGGTAAATATAATTTCTTCGTATTAAAATATTTTACTTGAATGATAATCTTACATATTTACAATTTATGTTACCTTTGTTATACAATCACTGACATCTTCAAACAGTTCATTGTCAGAGTCACCTTTTTTACAGACCTGTTTCCATTCTTTGTCAACTTCAGCAATTAATTTTTGTCGTTCCTCTGTAATAAAAATAAAACATTTAAGAGAATAATTTAATTTTACTAGATACAACTTACCATGTGAAAGAGTGTCATAGGGTAGCAGATACTTGCAGTAAATATCATCAAGTTTCGAGACACGGTCTTGGGCACTTTTGGGTATCTTCATCAAGTCTGCAACACGACACCATTTATCCAACTCTATCACTTCTTTCAGACCACCAAGGTCTTGGACAGTATGATAAAGCCTAGGCAAATCCAATTCCATGCCACCAATAAGCGGGGGATTGGAAAATACTATGGACTGTGTTTTTAAATATTTCTTCATCGCCATCATTTCACGGACATTTGGACCCCACCGATTCATCATTTTGTGAACAAATTGATTATAGGCCGTGAACCGCATATCATCACTAACTTTACATTCAGGCTAAATAAACAAAAATGTTGTGTCACATTCACTATCAAAACCATGAGAGGGAATATTTTAGTTTTCTATTTATTAATAAACAAACCTTAAAACTAGGAGGTGGTACAACCCTACATATACCATATTTTCGGGCAACAGGCTTAATAATTTCAAAGTACTCAAGTGGGTCCTTAAAGTCTTCCTCAGACGGATAAAATGTTGGTGCATCCATCATGTCTGCACATTCTTTTTTCTTAGAAGCTAATTTTTCGCTGCACTTTCTCTTGTTATTAATGTGTTTTTCAGTCCTATAATATTTAAATCAGTAAATTAACATCTGTAATTGTAAAATACGAATTTAAATACTGCAGTGGAAATTACTTTTTAAATTTCTTATTATCAGAGCCAGAGACAGAAGATAATGATGATACTGACGTTTTTTTTGATTCCTTAGAAGTGTTATTTTTTGTGGCAGTAATATTAGTAACTTGTTGTAACCGTTTCTTTTCATCTTTTACTTCCGGGATCTCTGGTTGTAGTGATAATGGTAACACTTGTTTCGAAGTTGAGGGAGTACTCTTAGTGGGTTGAACAGATCGAGTGGTTGGCTGTACAGTACCGACAGGTGTCATGCTGTTGGAAATTTTGTTTGTACACAGTGGCTTAATTTTTCGCTCCAGTTTTGGTGATATGGAACTATAGTTTTAATTTTTTTATTTATAACATTTTATTTTGTATCCGAGTAGATACATACCTGACTGGTATTGTGGATGCTGGAGGTTTGGTGACTAACTTGGCACTCATTACTAACTTGTTTTGTGGTCCTTGTGTGCCCAATTTGACTGTCACTCCCTGGATCAAAGGTTGAGCTTGAACTCCAGCTGGCAAAGGAATGTAAAACAGCCGTCCTTCCTCACTGTCAACGTCCGTTGTTGATGATACAGTAGAATGATGAGATTTCTCCTCCATAGAATCATTTTCTATACTAACCTACAAAAAATGATAAGCAAATTTATATTAATGGCAAAAGGAAAATTAGGAGTAAGAAAAGGAGCCAGAGGAATATCGATTTTAAATATTCCGATAAATAAAAAGTACAATATTAAAATATGTAATAATAAAAAAAAAAAATTGTTTATTTTACTATTATATTTTCATGGGGCCCATAAGAATGTTAACTTTATTTATACCTACAAATTTAGCCTCTTTTATATAAGGTACATACTTAACATAAATACTTACAGCAATGGATGTGTTTGGTGAAACTGTTCTCGACTTGGCGGGTGACTGTGGTTTATTTCGGCGGAAAGGAGTACTAGCTACTGGTAAATCGGGTTGAAAAGCATAAACACTTGTCTCATTGTCTGGAGAAAATGCATCAGAACTGTTTCCGCTGCACGACTGATTAGTGGATAATCGACGTTGATGAAAGATCTTTTTTTCTGGACTCAGATCATCTGAAGACGATACATCACTAACTACGTCTTTACGTTGTTGTTTTTCTTCAGTAACTAAAACAGTTGTTGGCACAACTGCTGTTGCAGAATGTTTTTCAAATTTTAGATCATATTTTGTACTATTCAGTAAAGTTCTTTTTGCCAAGTATGATGCATTGTTAGCCACTGTCTTTTTACTATCCAACACATCAGTTGTTTTTGATTCACTACAATAAGTCTTTTGGCACGGTTGAGAAGATTCCAATTTATTTTCAGCTGTACTACCATTGACCAAAGATGATTGAAAAGTGGTTTTGACTAAATCATTATCTGTAATGATTTCCTTTACTTCACCATTGCTATTGCCATCCACATTATCAGTACAAACCTGTGGTAATGTTTGATTGTCATCATGTTTATTCTTTGTCCAAGAGATCAAATTGTTACCAGATGAATAGGAAGCTAAAGCAAGATTGTTTTTTGGCAATTTTACATTTTTAAAAGCCTGCCTCCACGATGCAGTCAAATCTTTTTTGTCATTTGTCCTAGTTACAGTTTTGTTTTCCCTAGCCAGATTAACCATTTTCATGGTACGGCTTTCAAAAGATGGTGGAGTCAACGTTGACAAAACAGATTTATCTTCTTTCTTCTCATCACTACTAATTGAGGATGATGTATACTTTACAAAACTACTCTCACTAGTAGTTGGATATTTATTTATCAGCTGACCATTAGGTACAAATGGTTCATTAAATCTAGGTAAGGCACTACAGATTTCAGATAATACAGAAAGGCCATCGTCTTGTTTAAATCTATTAGGAACCTGAAAGTTTTTACCTGAAAAGTACTCAGGCATGGTGATTTTGATCTCTTTTTGTTGTCCAAGAAATAAATCTTTAGCAATGGTCTGAAACACAATGTTTTCTACTTTTTCCACTTTATTGAATGGCACCATTATAGATTCGGTTTTTTCAACCCTATCAACAACCAAAACTACATTTTCCACTTTTCTAGGGGTTGCCACATTTTCTTCTTTTGCTACTATATTTTCTGTTTTTGAAACTACTTTCAACTCTTGTTTGAGTTCAACAGCTTTTATGCTTTCTAATTTTTCTACAATATGGTCTTCTTTTTTATTGTCAACGGTATCACATTTTTCTTTTTTTTCTAAAACTATATTGCTATTTTCAACTTTCTTTTCTCGAAATAATATTTCTGTTGTAGGAATGTAGCTCTCATATTGTTGCAGCAATGTTGTTTCAACTTCATTTTCTTTTTTTTTTTCTAACGCAATAGAATTGTCCTCAACTTTTTTCAAAGAAGTTTCATTCTTAACAGTAGATTTCTTAGTGTCCTCACAGGCAGTAGATTTGGCATCAAAATTAGCGGCCATACGCTCTAGAAGTTCTTCTTTTGATTGACTAGTAATACCACTAAATATGGAAGACGAAGAAGATACAACCGATGATGACAATGTTGTAGAAGGCTTTTTATTGTTATTGTTGTATAAATCTAAATTAGATTTTTTATCTTTTGAGACTTTTTCCTTTTTTGCTGACTTTTGCTGCAATTTAATAGAAAGTGGCACTTTTTTCCCAACACTTTTCAAACCCTTGTCAGAAGTTTTTGGTTCTTTAGTAATTACTACATTTTCAGTCTTATTTTTTGACAATTTCTCAATTTTTTGGTCAACAGTAGCATATTTATTTTTCTTGATTTCAGGCTCTTTATCGTATTTTAATAAAATATTTTTTGACTTAGTTTCAGAAAGACTCTTTTTTATTTCAGAATCTATTTTATTCAAATCTTTTTTCAGTTTCAAGTCAGTCTTATTAATTTTAAAATTTTTTTTTGCAGATTCCTCAGTACTAATTATATGATTTTGTATTTTAGAAATCCCCGCAGTCGTTACTTTTATTGATGGTTTGGGGGTTTCATTTTTATTTACCTCGGATATGAATTCAAATTTATCATAATCCTCTTCTGAATCAGTTATTATATAATCGTCCAGCATGGTAGAAGAACGGCGAGGCCTTAGATTCCTTTTGAATGAAGTTGTTCCATTATTATCAGAATTGACCAACACCTCTGCTATTTTTTTGATTTTTTTTTTAGAAAATGTTTTAATCTCAGATTTTTTGTTTTCTTTAACCTTCTTTTCTACTACATTTTTTTTATCAAGCACTAATAATGAAGATTTATCATCCTGATTTTCAAGCCGCTGTTTTTCCTGTTGTTTTTCAATTTTGTTCTTTTTAGAAAAAACTTTCAATTCACGTTCACGTTGTTCTAAAAAAAATAAATATTAATAAAAGTATGAACAAATTTACTTTTAAACATATTTATCACTGAACTACCCAGAATAATTTTTAAAAATAAAAATATTTTCATATAATCAACAATTAAATAATTAAAATTATTATTATAAATAAATATTAGAACCCAATGACAAGGTAACATAAAAATTCAAGATGTTTCTTGGACAAAATGTTCTATAAAGTACCTTAAATTTTCAGTGTTTCTATTAAAAACATTGATAACTTTATGAACTCCAAAAAATATAATATAAGTGTAAGCCCAATATACAATACTTCTAAAAATAACCGAATTCAACCAAGTATTTATAAAAATATTTACAATAAATTTTCAATAAAAAATGCAAAACATTCAATATATTTATTGAAATAAAAAATTTTAAATCAGTTTGAATTAAAAATAAACATTGTAAATAATGTTTTAGTAATAAAATTAGCTTATATTTAAAATTGTATTCATTAAAACTCCACAATGCGATTTAAAATTAAACTTTAATATTCAATTTAAAAAAATTAGGTGACCCAAGACTTTCAGAATATTAATTAACAAAATTTCCATTCACACAATTATTGATTAGGTTTTATAAATGCTACTTGTTTATTGATTGTTTAAGTATTAAAAAAAATATTTATATAACTTTAAATAAAATCCAATATAATAAAAATAGGGTTGTAAGCACTTTGGTGAACTTGTGAGTGATAAAACTTTATTGTTTGATTAGTAAAGGCCTAGGACTTACCGTTAATTCGTGTATTTGGAAGATCAGGAAAACTTTCCACGGATGATGTTTCATCTTCTTGCTCATCAGCACATCGCATATCTTTTCGTAACATTTCCATAAATAAAGTAGCAGCTTCTTTAGTTCTCCTAGGAGGTCTTGAACGAGTTGAACTAAAATAATTATTAAATTGTATTGAAAAATTATTTTTTTACAACCATAAACATTATAATATTGAACACACCTCGATAAATCTTTATTCTCATGGCTTGTTTTAATGTTATCTACAGAAGATGTTCTTCTTTTCACATCAAAAGACAATTTTGTTTCAATTAAACTGTTAGCTTTGTTACTCTTAGATACAGTCTTTAAATTCTTATCATATTTCTTATCAGGAATGACATAATTATCTTGATCATTATTCTTATGTTTACTAGCTAAACTTCTAGTTTTTCTGTCATTTTTGTTGGTTACTTTAACTAGACTAGTCTTTTGTTTTATATTACCAAGACTGTTACTTCTATGATTTAAATTTGATGCAGTCTTTTTTCTCGATGGTCTTTCTTCTTCAATATCATCTGAATCCTTTGAATCTTCCGATGTTTTTAAAGAAGGTTTATTGTCCCCCTTACACCATTTACCTTTATCATCTAAAAAGTTGTTTTAAAATAAGATAAACCATATATTCAACAAAATATTTATCAAATATTTTACCTCGAAGTTGGTTTATTGCAGGACAAAATATACTTGGTAAAGAATTTGATCGTGTTATACGACCTTTCAATTTTTGTAATTGCTTACCATCTAATGACACTTGTTTTCCATTTTTTTTTGTTTCTTTTTTGACAATTTCTTCAACTAGAGGTCTATAAAATGAAAATAAAATAATTAGTTCAATACAAATAAAACATTGTCAAAAGTAATGTTCTTCATACTTTTTAACTTTAAGCTTTGGTTTTTTAATTTTAGAACCATGGCGAAGGGATAATTGACGCAAAGTAAGAGCTTCTTGTCTTACAGCATACCTTGAACTAGATCTTACCAGATTACGACCAATAACTATAAATAATGATAGTTGTAATATATTTTAAAAGTATAATACATTTACAAACATAAAAATTACATTTACTGTACCTTTTTGTCCTAACTTAGATAACGGATACTTAGTTTGTGGTAACTGTCTTATGGTTTTTCTTTCACTTGGCTCATTATTTACAACATTAACATTATTTATATTATTCACATTAGTTACTGGCAGTATAGGAGTACTTTTTCTTCTTTTCTAAAATGTAAAACAAAACTAAATAAAACCTAGAATGTAGATAATCAAAAAATAAATACCTTTCCAACAGCAATTTCATGTGCTGATAGAGAGCGTTGAGGCTTATTAAAAAAATCTAGACGTGGTGGTAGTAAACTAGTACCTAATTAAACAATTGATAAATAAAATGAAGATTTATAAGATTAAAAAATTATTTGTTTACCTCTAAAACAAAGGAAAGTCAGAAAGTCCTCTGTATTTGGTCGTTTTATTGGTGGTTTTATTGAATTATTAGGTACCACAGGAGTCTGAATAGGTTTCTGCGGAGTACTGTTGGGTGTCACAGCATTTTGAGCAAATTTACGCTGAGCTTGTACCTTGATTCTACAAGATAAAAATAAAGGTTTTATTTATTATTCACAAAGCATTCTTTAATTATTTAAGAAATATAGAAACAAATTAAATCTTAAATTAAATATAATACAAAACAGATAAAAAACTTCTATTTTTTTAAATTACAATCACTCAAGAATAAAATAAAATTGTTGATTAACTTTGAAATGTAAATTTCAGCAACAAAGTAGTTGAATACAATAGTGAATAAATAAATACCATAGTTCATGATATAAAACTATTATAACAACATAAGAGTACAGGTTTTAGTATTTTCACAAAAATATTTAAATATGTAATAGTAGATGAATAATATTAAAAAATTAAACATTTTACAACACAATTTGATAACAAAAAATGCATACAATTAAAATTTAGTAAACACGCATTTAATGTATCAACTACTGGAAGATTTGAAAAACAAGTGTAAACACTTACTTTTTTGTACTCGAATCGAGAATGGCTTCATCATTGTTCAACAGCTTGCGTTTCTTTGCATCTGATCCATTCAAAGACATAGTATCGGTATGATTAGTACCTAGTCTTTCAGCATGGTTATTCGACTGCTATCAATAAAGAACGGTTATATTTAAATTAACAAATTAATGTACCAATGGAGAAACAAGAATGCCTATGGTATTAAATAGGGTAGGAAAAAAACCTATGTTGCTCAGAGTTTCTGTACACTGCACTCAAGAAATCGGTTATAAGTGTGGTTCGAGGATAAAATAAATTCTGAGCGAGTAACCGAATAATGCCAGGCTTAGATTGATGGTGATAGAAAACAGGTAATGAGCACGTAGAGGCAACACAAGTGTGTAAGTACCTATAAGTATAGGTACGCAAGAGTAAGTTAGACTAAGTAAATTTTAGATATATATAGGTATATATTTATACACCCACGCGTCGATCTTACAGATGTGGATGGCATGTACGTAAAAATAAATATCTATACGGCGACGTATGTACCTCTGATGTTAGTGCGATTCAGAACAACGTGCGCAGACGAAAATCCGGGATGCGTTGGATGCAGACACCACCGTACTGCTGTTATTGTCGTTATGGTTGTTGTTGTTGTTATTGTTGTCACTGCGTCCGTGACGATAGTGAACGCGCATCGTGTCGTATCTCTTGGCGCGACTATTTAATTGCGTGTGTGCGTCTCCTTTGTCCGATCCTCTTTTCGGTCGCACGCGCCTCTTTTACCGCGGTGTAGAAGCACTCAGTCAGTCCGGCGCAGGAAAAAGGAATTAAGAGAACAGAAAAATATATAATGATAAAATCTCGGATAAAACGTATCCATGCGAATAAGACTTTCGAGATAAAAAAAAAAACAGAAACAACAAAAATATTATTATCTCGCGTACACGCGTTCGTGTGTGATGAGATTATTATTATTATTTTTTATTATTGTTACTGATGTATTATATACATATATACATGTACATTATGTATATGTACAACCGTGCGCGGCGCGAAATACTACTGCTTTACGCGCGCGCGTGTGCGAACGTATTTTTATTTTAGTTTTTTTTTCTTTTTTTGTTCCAGCGAAATACGTTCAATTATATTTCGTCATCACGCGACGACGACGACGGCGACTACTACGACGATTACGGTGGCGCTGCTGATGCTCCTGCTGCTGCTGCTGATGATGATGATGACGATGACGATGATGATACTCCTCCTCGCCCAAAACAAAAACACCACTCTCTGGCGCGCGCGCACACACCACCACTCACCAGGACGATACTAATGTGATTGCACGCACGCGCCCATATACATACACTCACGCACGCACGCACGCACGCACGGAGGAAGAAACGCGCACGCACACGGATCACCGTCGCACCCGCACGCACGAGTCGGATTATATGTGTTATGATAAAAACGTTTTTGTGTCCACCACCGACGACGACGCCGCCGCCGCCGCCGCGACCGAACGGCAACGTCGTCTGGCCCACGTTGCCGGACTTGGCTAGTGTAAACACCAACACCGTGCTCGCGAGGGATGGTATCGGACGACCGCGGACCAACGGCAGGGGGTGGCGCGAGTGGGAAACAAACGTTCAATGGGTCACAAACAAACGTGCACGCACGCACACCGTGTTATCATGTTCGTGCGTACGCACAACACACGTGTGCGTTATTAAGTGTATGGTATTTAAAGTCGATTGTACAAAAATTATATGAGTACCCACAAACACACACACACACACACACACACACACACATACACACGTTTGTACGATCCGTCGGGGTGAGACTTAATGACTGTCTAAATGACCATTTGCCGTGCTGTAGTGTGCTACATGCGGTCCGTCTCGAATGGTTTTCGGAATTAAGGGAAAAAAAATAAGAAAAATCAATACTGAAGTGTGGTGGTGTGCGAAGACGGTTTTATTGTACGTGTTGTTATTGCACGCGGTGCGTAGTAGTTGGCAGCTAGGGAGGAAAGTGTAGCACGCGAAGACCATCCCGACACAGCAGTAGTCTCCGAAAACAACTAAGCTCTATGCGGAACCTTCCCTACGGGAACAGGACAGTTAAACTCTTCAGATTTCAGCGGTACAACAGGGGCCTTGTACTAACTAGAACACTTGCAGCAACCGATCTCAAATTGAAAAATAAAACTGCCTTTTGGTTAATTTAAGTACTGCAAAACTTAAATAAACCATGTTCATCTCTCATAAGGAACCGCCTAGAGAGTGCAGATGTATATTTATATGCGAATCGTATATTATGTAACGATTTCCAGAATGTGTTTGGAAATGCTCTTAAGTTACGAATACTTTTCCGACTCCACGCAAACTGATTCAATGACCATTTTTTTCATTCCAACTCACTCTTGCCGGCTTTTGATTGAATCGCCTCTTGAGTCACTCTTATTGAAATCCCGGACTAGACGCATTCTTCTTCACAAAATTGTACTTATAGTGATAACAAAAATATACCGCGAAGGGATAAATGGAAAATTATTAACAGACCTCATCACCCCCTTCCTTGAAACAGCACGAACACAATACTACTCGCTCACTATCCCACATTTGACACACAAACAACACACACACACATATTGGTTACTGTGCACTGGCTCACTGCATCGGAGAAAACCAATTATTCGACATACCACCCAACCCAAGCAGAAGGTATAGTTTTTTTCGTAACACGGTCTTGTACTATTATGGACAGCATTCGTAACGTCTCTCGAGTGTTGTACCATCACGTACATAGAAACTCGCCCAATAACGGTCATTGTATTATGATATTAATGTATCTGGATGTTCAAGTAATGTTACGGCTGGTGGACACATTGTTAGTTAAATCGGTTCCGATTCGTTTGTCCTTTATACATGTTGTAAATATAAACAGTCAACACCAAGATAATATGGTGTGTCGCGCATTTTAAAAAAATTAACGACAAATATTTTAAAATTGTATTAATTTACCGTAAGTTGGAAAACGTGATTAGCAAACTAGAATGATATTTATAATACTCTTATTTTAACTATTAACTGCCAAATCCCATTGTTAATCATTATCTACATACTGCTCGATGTCGGGATGCTATCATCTGGTATTAATTTATTTTGAATTATATTCGATAGACGACCAAAGGTCATAAAACCCGTAGATATTTAATAGACCTAAAAACTAATTAAAAAAACTATCGTTTTCTATGCAATTTTGGTATTAGAAATAAAATAATATTCTGGTGTATACTGAGCCAGATTGTATGCAAAGAGCAAAGGTGAAAATTCTCATAAAGTATATTAAAGAATAAATTATTAAATTTGTGCCTAGTAGGATATCAATGTCAGAGACTATTTACGAAACACGTTTAAAAATATATTTAATAAAAAAATAGTTCTATAGTATAATATAAATGTAAAAATATCGGTATTATAAAAATCATGCTAGTAAACATAGATCATAACGTTTTAATTAAGATTCCGAAGTTCTAGCAAATGCATATTATTCTTGATTCATCCTAGAACATCCAAAATAAGATACAAATATGTTTCACACAACTCGGATATCATACACAAAATTTAATTTTGTTTTTTTGCATATTCACGGGTTTTATTGCTATTTTGCTAATTTAGGACTTATAACGCTATTTTTGAGAACATTTTCACATAATCAGGAAATAATATAATATATTTGTATGTAAAATTATTCGTATACCTACTAAACTTCTAGGTATCTAATTTCCGATTTTTACGTAGAACCGAATTTTCCGCACCAAGTACAGGCATAGATTAAATATATTAATATATTTAATTGTATATTTAATCTATGGTACAGGAAACAGGAAAATATTAATACTATTAAAAATAGTAATTTTTCGTCAAATACTTCAAATTTAATCGTTTCTGTGAATGTCGACTGATAAAATAACAATCAACTCAGCCCAAAGCATTGTAAATATCAACAGGCACGTTAGAGGTAAAGAATAATATGACGAAGAATGTATCAAAATTCTCAATAAAAAAAAATCAATGAATCAATGAGTGACTACTTAAATGTTGTTTATGAGTCAGGCAAGGTGATACCATATTAATAACACTTTTCAACATTATCGTGAATGAAGCTTTAAATATACCATCAAAACAGGTAGCATTAAAAACAAGTCGTGTCTAATCTGCACATATGTAGTTTATTAGTAATAATGGCAAGAAATCAAAATGTCATGGTAGAAGTTTTTTGAAATATAAAACTTGAGGACCAAACAATAGGTTTAAATATTAAAAAAAATAAAAGACCAAGTACAAGAAACCATCCATTGTCCAAACACACCGCAAGATACCAAATATAACAATTAGTGAGTACTGCTTTGAGGGGGTAAATGAATTTGCGCATTTTGGCTCTTTTCTTAACAACGGTAAGAACATACCGGAAGAGATTAAAATAATCATAGCTAGCAACCGCGCATACTTTGCCTATATCACACTCCTCAAATCAAAACTCTGCCAAAAGTTATTAATTAAAGCTATATAAAACCCTGTAGAATATTATGAAGCCAAACCATGGACGTTGTAAAAACGTTCACCAATAGGTTAAAAAGAAAATAGTTTGATAAAAATATGAAATAGTAAATGAAGAAAGAATAAGGAGAATTTGAAAAAACAGGGAAATAGAATGTTTTAGAAAAAACAAACATATTGAAATACAAAAAAATCTGGTAAAATTAGATGACTTACTTAAGAATGGATGAGGAAAGAATACCCAAACGTATAATGCATGAAATAATGAAGAGAACTAAGGAACAAGGACGTCCAAGAAGCAAGTAGGCAAAGTAAAAACACAACCGATAGGGATACAGAATTAGAGAAATATTGTCAAAGATCGCTATGAGTGGAGATTTTTTTTTGAAAGCCAAGAGCCATCATGGCATGTAGACAGTGACGTTCTCAGAAATTTTCAATGGGGGGGCTCTGAAAATTTACTAGAATACAAAAGTGGGGGCTCTGTCCCCCACATCCCCCATAGTTATAATAATTACAAATTTTTTACTGTTTTAAAAAACCACATTATCACAAATTGTCACCAAATTGTTAAATTGATAGCGCGGTCGTGTCATAGAACGTGTTCTATGGTCGTGCTCTAAACCAACTTGATAACCCTGATAATGGTAACTAATAACGTATAAACCACTAAATTATAATCAATAAAATCAATAATCAATTATTATAAAACTATCGTAATAATTTTAAAAAAATACGGCACATAGGGGGGGGGGGGGGTAAAACCCCCTGAACCCCCCCCCCCCCCCCCGGTTAGTTCGCCACTGCATGTAGAGCTTATGAGAAAAAGGAGAAACAAATTAGTAATTACTATGAGCCTTTATGACTATATACTCAAGTTATAAATTTAATTATATATGCTAATCTTAAATATTTGAAAAATTAAATCATTTTATTTTATTTTTTACATCACATTACAGAAATTATAAAATAATTAACTATTTGGTAGTTGTAAAAAAATACTCCTAGTGTGTTTTATCCTCTACTATAAGCAAACTTTCAACGCATTATGCGATCGATATAAATTATAGTTGGCCAATACATTGACATAATTTGTAATTTAAGAACTATAATATTATTTTAGAAGGTAATCAATGAACCATGAAAACAGAGTAAGAATTTCAGCTAAAAAAAACTAGTTAAAAAGGATTTCCGGTATCCGTGTCGATCAATAAAAACACATTGAAGCAATATAATTAATCCAAAAATATTCAGTGACAATGGATGGTTGTTACCTAATGTTCGATAGTATTGAACGATTGTAGGATGTATTATTTTTCGTTATTATAAATGCTTAAATCGTAAAATTATATTTAAAATTTGAAATCTTGATTATATTCTTCATATACAACTTTCGAATGATCGAAAAATTACTAGTGCGCCCATATAATAGAATATTAATAACTTACACACACAATATACGTATGGATACATGTAGATACATTAATACTTACTAGATTAAAAAAATTAAATAGTAGAGCTGCGGAAGAGCGTAAAGTTTTTGATTGCAGATCTTACAAATCGTTTTGAAGACAATCGTCCGCACTTGTTTATGTCACTGAACCACGTGGGATTCTGTACAATATTATGTACAACTGACCTGCGTCGTTATCTGGTTACGAAAATTCGACTCAATGCACGGATTTGCTTTTGGTTTGTTAAAATTGTAATTTACAATGATAATTGTTTCGATACAATATTTTATAATGGCACTCGAGAGTTATTCAAAAAATTTTTGATCGCACGTGTCGGAAACAAGGTAAACGCTAAAATATGTAACGGAATCGGACGCC